CAATATCAAAGATTTAATTTTCCATTCTATTAGTAATTATAATAACGACATATGAAGTCCTCGCATACAGCGGGAGGAACAATTTCTTATCTCGAAAATATGATGTTGTTCTCAACGAGCAGAATCGAAAGGAAGGGAGGGCGATTGAAAACCGCAGAGCAAAGTTATCGCGGCCGAAAATTGCAACGCGTTACGTTCGGTCAGCTCGCAACACGAATTAATAGGAATCCAACGTGGCACATTTATTTTTGCCAGCCGGGCGAAATGTTACTCGGAAAACAATTCCGTGTCTGGCGTGCTTGCTCGCTCACGAGGTAGCGGTAATTTTTTTTTCGCTGGTTACCTCCTGCTACAAGTAAAACGGCGATCGACCGCGAATGCGCGTGTAATCGGTGACGGGCGTCTCACGTGGTGTTTTGCCCGCAGCCGAGCGAACAGAATCGCGAGGGCTTTCACAGACACATCGAGCGAAACCAAAAGAGAGAAATAAAGACAGAGAGAAAGACAGCACGAGCGCTGTGAGAGCTGGTACGCATTCAATTTGCATCCGATAAATAAAAGGCGCGATTAACGACGGTCCATAGCGATGGACGATGAAGGGTGTAAACGAGGGAATCCGCAAAACCCATGTTCCAACAACAACGACTGCGGCTACAAGAAGTGACCGCAACTTCAATCCTATCCGACTTCATTTCCATCCCACTTGAACCCAGCGTTCGCTTCTTCTTCTCTTTCATGGACACGCCCTTCCTGGTTCAGCCCACGACGTACCCTGCGGTGGTGAGAGATGCCAAGGTTGAGTTTATTATGATTATAAGGAGAACGGAGGTGAGACTCACGACTCTCAAGACCGGCTTCCCTTCGATCCTCCTTTTTTTCTTCGTTCAACGTTCTTACTTCTCAATGCCGCGTAGTATGATAAAATGGATGTCTGACCGAAAAAATCATGGGACATCGTGCAGATTAACATCGTCTAGCGCTTTACCATTCAAGCTACTACGTATATTCATTTGCTCACGTAGAAGCACTCTCTTACGAGAAATCCTGTATAAATAGTCGGCGAATGTAGTACAGTGTAGTACCTAAGTTTTGCAATAAAAAGATTACAATTTGACGATATTTTCGAATAGATGGACTAAGGAGATCGTTAATTTTTAAATGCACGTAACTTGGATTTTTAAGTAAAACTATATAGCTTGTTGCAAATTGATTAACATTTCGCTGCTTGCTAGTTCTAATTTAGTTCTTTCGTTACGGTAAAAATTAAACGTTATATTTTGCAGCCATTTTTTATATTTAATTTTTAAATTGATTTGTAAACGCTTTACACAAGAACGTGGCTTATTACTTAATTACTTCTACTATATTATACTACATCTATAGGCTATCTATGAACTGCAGAATATGTATCGAAGAAGAGAGCGATTCTATGTGAAAAAATAAATATGGTAGAGTATTTAAACGTTAAACAACATTAGTTTGCTAATATTAACGTTTCATGTCTTTTCGCGGTCGCATAACCATTTTAACACTATGTGTTCTTTTCTTTATTTCGAAAACGTGTCATCGCTTGGCTATCGAGAGCATATCAGCGCCGATCTTCCCTGCTCTTGCGTATTCTTTTCAGGCTGTGTCCCTCTCGTCCCGTTTGCCTTTCTATTCCACAGTTATCCGAAGTGAGCTTTCGACTGTGTGGCGCTAATCGTGAGAGGCGGCGCGAGATTCCGTGGAATCAAGGGTGAGGATGCGCCGCGACCACAGCTACTTCTTTCAATGAACGCTGCAGGCCTGCCGTCTGCGGTTCCGCTTTCAATGAGAACGCCCCGTAAAAACTTTTAAGTACTCCTTCCACGTTGCCGGAGGGAGAAGAAGGAATCGCGAACGGACTTTACCTTAGGAAGACGGTAGGCAGTTAGCAGACTCAAAGAGTAAACCTCAATCGAAAGGTGCAGAGAGGAGGGGAATGATGGCCAAACCGGAAACTGGCTTCAAGTTCTTACTGTCTGCTTTCACTACTTTTCGGTTCGTGCAAAAGCATCCAGCCGTGTACTTTAATTAAATCGTTGAGACTAGAGCCACGCCATGCATTTCGTAGACGGTCTTGTACCGCCGGACCGCGGAACTTCTTCGAGGCGAATAATTGTGTACGAAATTAAACGGGATCGTTCCCGTGGCAATTGAGACCAAGCTTCTTTGAAGTAACATGTATTGAAGATTTCTTATTGTTAGCCAATGTAGTGTTTGGAGAAGTTTCACAATTATCGCAATGAATACAATCCTGTATCGTATAAAAGAGATTTAATACAATGAGGAGGAGACTTTTTCATTGGTAATTATATAGCTAGATCGTTTTTGGTCGTATAATAATCTCGTTATCTATTGTACAGTAAATCATTATTAATATCACTTGAGAAACTGAAACTAATCATTTCGTCTGAAATACTTTCTCGTTCATTCATTTATTTTGTCCCTTATAGCTACCTTAAACTTTCTAGAAGGTTAGGTACTTTCCTAGGTACTTTCTGAACTTTGAGATTCTTAATCAATTGTCATTTTATCGTCAATAATCAATTTGTCATCACGTTATAAATTACAAAAGGTCTTTTTAATGCTGCTGTGGCTCATAATTGATTGATATACAGAAAATGCAAGATGTCTCATCAACAGTCTCTGATGGTGAGAAAGAAACACAAGATGTCTCGTCATCCATCCGTAATCAGATTTATCCTCTATCCGTTCTCTCTTAACAAGAACGGCTCGTGATGAACCAAGAATAAAAGACTTATGGTGAAATAGCATAAAACGTTATGAGTAAATAAGAGTATATCTTCATTTTAAAAGGTCATTTGCTTTATCTTTCGATTCCTTTGTAAGATTCATTGCAACAAACTGGCTAGAATAATAAATAATAACAGTAGAAACGAAGAAAGACATTCAAAGAATTACTTCAATTTTTAATTTCAAGTCGCAATATATATTAATGAAAATTTTTCTAGAGAAAGATAGTTTCAAAAACATTTATATTTTAAACGTAGATATTCAAATGCCTAGATTTTTCTTAGAACAGTTCGTCTTCGGGAAAATGTTCCATTTCGAAATTTATATCACTGTTTATTTTACTTTCAATTCAAATTCTTCGCCTCTCTTCTCCTCAAATTGAAATTATTCAGTGCTTAACTTTCAAACTTCCACTCCTTATTCCCTTTAGCCATTCATTGAACCTTTAAGTTCCTGAATATGTACTTGCTTCATAGATGTACTTTCGTGTATGTGTGCACAGACTTTTATATTTTCCATTCTGTTTCCTTAAGTGAAACTTTGCTGCTGTATGTAAGAAACCTCTCTAGTGTAAAAGCCAATATTTCCAGCAAATTTGAACAATCATAAAAACAAATTTGAAATAGAAAAGCAAGTGAGTTCCATTTATGAAACTTTTATCAAATTTATCTCTACTCTAGCGACGAGTGAAATGCCTTTCAAAAGATTTTGAAGCACAGTGATAAAAGAATCGTCGTGTTTACTCCAGTCGATAAATTATTCTACTTAGTAAAATTTTATGGACGTTCAGCGAAACAATGGAATGTTAGAAGACCAACATATATCACATTTCAATAAATTTGTCTCAGGATGGGCTACACACTTAACTAAATAAAAATATATAATTCCATTTAAAAGAGACTTTGAAACCGTAAAGAAACCTCCATCTAGAGAAGGTTTGTGTCCGTAGTAAAATGTCTCCTTCAAAATACACCAACTTATATTTGAAATAAATAGTTCAGTAGACATTTGCTTGAGAATATCATAATAGAGCATTATACGTATATATTTTACAAAACCAATAATATTGAATACACTGTTGCATCTAACAAGCTTCAGCTATAAATTATAATTTATGCATCCGGTTACAAGAAGGCCAAACACATTCTCTCCAGCTTCGATTCACCTGTTTTCTTCTTACTTACGGTTACCATTCCTGTTCCCATTAACATTCTTAGATTACGAAGCAACAGCGAAATCACAGAGCGCTGTGCACAAAAGACAGATAATCCATGGGCTTTGTGGAGGAAATAACGATTCGATCTGTCATGACGGCTGACGTCTCTCGTTCCTTATCCATTTTGAAGGTTCAAGAAGTTCTAATCCATCGTGCAACTTCGTTCCTTAATGAAAAACCGTGATTGTGCGCGACCTTGCACAGCACATTGCCATAAAGTCAAAGAATAGCAGGTGCCGAGATCAGAATGATCGTTGTCACTTTCCATATCGAAATCGTCCGAGGAAAGATTTTGCGAAGGACGCGAAGGATGGCGAACTTAGTAGAACTGGACGTAATAAGACGAGTGATCAAGTGATCGAAGATGACGTTGCGGTTACACCGAAGAAAAATCGGGGACAGAGAAACGAAAGCGGCCCGTAACAGTAACTGGCCATTCTTCTCTTTTTCTGTTTTCTTTACTTTGTCTGCAGACTCATCGTTATAACGAACCAACAGTATTAACGCGATACATTCGATGCAAGATGCATTATATAGCTCTGATGTAGTGATAGATGAAATATCTAATCAATGGAATCAGAGCATGCGATCCAATACATGTACCATCTTATCATGTGGTGTTTTGTTGGTTTTGTCAAGAATAGTGAGGATACGGATAAATGTTTCACGTATGTCTTATGGATTGATTAAACAGCATGGAATTGGTCAGTTCGATTGAAATTGAGGAAGTGATAATAGTATTTTAATAGATCACGTTATTTTGCAATTGAAATGAAACGAGGACTTGATAAATTCATTAAACTGTGATATATTAAATATTTAATTCTCTTCATCCTTTTTTCAACAAATACTTTTATTTTTGTAGACGTATCATTTTGCATGTGTCATGTTTAAGCTGCAGATTTTCTTGTTTATATATGATCTTAATTTTACTATTATTAATTTTTATATTGTTAAAGTTTATGAGCATATCTGTTTATATAAATAATAAAAAATCAAAACTATATACAATTGGATATTTTATATATTGTAACCTAATAGCAACTTAAAGTTATAATAATTAACTTTGATAAATCTATCTTTAATTCCAATATTAATATCACTTTGATGCTTCACGAATTCACTATAAATATCTCATTACTTCACCTTTCAACCACCAGGGAAAGTTCGCTCAAAACCAGGCAATGGCCATTCATTTTCTCCCTCGTTCCTGTTTTCAATTTCCGGTGGTAGAGAGCTCGTCAAGACCGAGGAGCGGGATGAATCTGTGGCTTGCTACAGACACCTGCGGGATTTTGACAAACGTGTATCACGGCCAGTAGCAGTTTATCGATCCTGTCCTAATAAGACACAGCAGAGCAAAATGAGGCAAAGCTCCGTATGTACAACAGCCACACAGTGTAGACACCGACAGGGCACAGAAAAAGCGTGTGATAGAGAGAGAGAGAGGAAGATGAGGATAGATCTGATTAACGCGCCGTCTTGTCCCATCCACCTACCCACGTCTTCGAGGCTTGATTGGGGGCGATAAGCAGTTTATGAAGCAGCTCGGCCAAGAATAATAGATTAGCAAAAGACTGAGGCGTGAGACGATGTTAAAGGAAGAGGAAGAGACGGAGGATGAAGGAGAAAGGGCGGTCAGGGTCTATGGGGAGGAGAATGCAGTAAACAATGATGGGTAGCCTCCCGCGTTCAGTAACTGCCGCGATACTCTAACATGGGAACTCATTACGGGGTCTCGCGTGAGCGCATCCACCTATACTTGATTGCATTATAATATGGTCTGATCCCTCCCTGATCGTCAAGTGATTCTATTGCTAGAAGCTACATCGATGCGATCGATAATCTCTTTATACGTATTTGTTCGATATCGTTTCAGAATAAACAACATATTGGATCGAATTTTAATAAGGAATTGGTTAACAGGGAATGGACATTTAACAGATCGTTGATAAATGTAATATATTTCCTTTTACACGTCCCTTTCTCTTTTTTATTTTTATTAGTGTTATATTTCTTAATTATTTTTATAAAAATATAAATATGAATTTAGTATTATTAGTCATGAACTTAGTATTATCTATCCCTCAAGGAATGGATTTATGAAAATTGGTCTATGGAAATAAGTCACTTATAGTGAGACAAGATATGAGAGGTATATTAGTCGATATCAACAATCTAAATCATATGACATTGGTTTAAAATTAATTAAAGTCAAAATTGATCCTTCTACTATATCGAATTTTTATATTCTTGGAATAAAATCGGAACGAGAAATCATATTTTATACCTTTCTTGGACATAGAAGGCTTCTATAACAATTTTTAATGAGAAAAATACGCAGATGACGTAAGAGATGTAGCAAGGTAAACTCCCTTTGAAGGATGCGGCTGTCGCGGATATGTTGATTCGCATACGTATAGTGGTACAGTGTATCATATGATGACATAGCACGGATATTTTCTGTTTTACAGCAATGCTAGAATTCTTCTTATGTCGGACTAGATTAATGCGGCGCAGATTAAGTTCTGGAGCTTAAGAAAATTTTCCAAGATTACATCCGTTATTACGGCATAAGAAGCTGGTTAATGTTGCTTTATACGTCAGAAATAGGTATTAGAGGAGATGATTACTTCCTGCGAGAATGTGTTGATTCCTCAGGCCTTTGATGACGAGGTAGAAGGGAAAGAAAAAATTCGTGAAGAGAGAAAAATACCATAAGTGGCTCCACCCAGTAATAACAATGATATAAGCACTCTGGATATTATTTAAAATCTATTAGACTGGTTGATAGGCGTCTGTACATTTTATTTGAAAATAAATAAGAAATAACAAGTTGGCGTAATAAATGATGTGTTTCAACTAATTCATCTGTATATTAAAAATAAATTGCAGAAAATAATTTGATTTTATATCAAGATTAGATGAACACGTAAGTTTCCAAGTAAGTTTTTAATCTAGATGACACCTTTAAATAAAATAAGCAATGCGGAGATTCAAATGTTACGTTTTGAAAACAATTTAATTATAAAACAATAAAACTAGCAACAGATTATTTTACAACAGAAGTATCTATATACTTTCAAAACTGTTCTTATTTCAGCTATCTTTGAATAAGACACTGCATAATCTGCGCATTTGAGACACTGTAAGGCAATTTGTTCTTGGACATAACAGAATTATAATGACTATACTTTGAAGAATTTTTATTTCTGAATCTATTTATATAAATAAAAAGTCAGATAGAAAATTATCTCACTTGACAGCCAAATAATGAATTAATAGAAAAAAATCATTTTCATGTTTAAACGAATTAACATATACATAATTATATATTGTTTAAACAATATCCAAATCTGGTTGAAACTAACGAAAGCTGATAGATAATTCTCCTGAAATAAGTTAATCGCATCTTATAATTGTTTCCTGTTTAAAGTTTCAATTAAAATAGTGTAACGATACAAAACACGATAAAGTGCACATTAAATATCAAGTAAATGCGGCATAGTAGCGCTTCGAGAGAAATTTGTACCTTCCTCTTAACAAACAACGGTCTGAAATTGGAAAATTATAGCGAACAAGAAACGTCAAACAATTTTACCGTGCATAATAACGTAACCACTTTAATGCATTTTGTTATCCAAGAGCGCGGGCAGAGACTAAAGTGTCGTTTAACATTCGTCGCTGGAGGCCAGAGGCAGTTAGAGGCCAGGACCTTGGGCGAAGGAGCTCCGCCGACAAATTATGAGTAATAGCTGTAGAATTGAAAGCTACAGAATATTTTGCGGTAATCTGGCGTCGAAGGAAATAGAATCCATCACGGAGGTGTCTACGAGGAACTCATAACCACGTAGCCAAGGTAAGATAGTGGATTGCATGCGAAATACTCGCGTTTGTCGAGGAATTGCCGCACAGTGAAACAAATAAGGAGAGGGAGAGGACGAGCGGGTGGTTTGCTCGAAAGAAAAGGCGTGATAAAGAAAAGGGCCAATGTACGGGGTGGCCTCGATGCATCTTCGTGTACGCGACAGCAGAAGAAGAAGAGAAGATGAGGGAAAAAAGGAGCAATGAAGAGAAGAAAAAGGTAGAAGGAATCGAGTGGGAGAAAAGGAGCCCACGAGCGTGCTTTTCTTGTCGCCTCCATTCACGTGTCATCAGTCACGCGAGTAATGAGTGTCGGAAATACAAGGTTTCTTGAGTCAAACGGGGCTTTGCCCTTCTCTCTCGTTTACTCTATTCCCTCTATCGCGCAGCCGACTGCTCCCCTTTCTCCGTATTTATCTCCCTCCCGTTCTATCCTTCTGCCAGGCGAACTTCTCCACGCTATTTATTATGGTCTGTACGTGCATACGTGCGCGGAAAGTAAAGCGCACGTCTTCGGGACGACATCAACGTACCACGGGGTATACGTACCTACGTACAGGGAAGATGTTCGTCATATCTCGCGTAAGGATCTACTTGGGATGACTTCACCCGCTGCGTACTCATTCGTGCTTGACATAGCGACGCCTACTGAAAGACAAATGGTTAGATGAACGAACGGATACGAATAGTCACAGTGCAGACTATTTTCGCGACAGCTACCAACGTTCGAGATAAATGACGAGACAGTTTCGAGAATCGAGGGACTGCGAATCCGTACCTCCACCGTGCGTTGGCAATGCCACAGAATCTACATGTGCATTCATAACGTTAATGATAGTCGAACGTAACGTTGATGTTGCAACATGGACTGATATATGTATCAAGTTTCGATAAAAGTATTTTGCAATTAACGAGAAATGTTAATATCGATGCTTCCATTGATTAATAGACTGTGAATATCCATGCATTTGAATGCGTACATAAAAATATACAAAAATACTTCAAAAGCTTCAAAGCAAAACGTGAGGAGTTGAACGAATTTTTATTTAGGTTCTGTTTCTGTGGTTTTAAATTCACAGAAATACGAATTTGCATAAATATCCGCAACATACTGATAAAGATGAATTCTAATTAATAAAAATTGTTTTTTATATTGTGGAGTGGAAATAGAAATTCGTGATTTGTATTGTAGTTCGTTTCACTTGGGCTGACCAATCAAGTCTTAATCTACTTTATCAAACCACTCGGGTTAATTCTTAATTGTCATAGTGTTTGTTGACAAGTATGGAGAAATTTATTCTATGTTATTAATCAAGATCTAAAATTTAGTTATTTATTTCATCTCCTTAAATAAATGAATTCGCTTTTATAAGTCATTTGTTTCTTAAAAGTCGAACATAAATCATATACCTGGATAATCAAATCTAAAAGTTTTACAAAAAACAGAGTCGATCGACTTAGCTTCTTAAAGATACATATATGAAAGAAAGAAATTTCCTAATTAAAAATTAACCAATGTATTATTCTTCCTACATTAATTTCCATATTAACATAAATCTGGCAAAGAATATATACTTAATAAAATAAACAGGAAATAGATCCGTAGCATAATTGCTTTACTCGTTTCACTGAAATCCTTCATATTCAGCATTATTTATAGATACTTAAACAGTTCGTATTAGTTTTATTGAATCGTTAAATATACTCGAAATGGATATAGAACGTACATCATAACGACTACAGTGAAAATTCCTAGAATAAAATATGATTGATATCCCTCAGTTTATAAAGACGAACAAGGTCATCTCAAAAGTCAAGTACAATTTATATTCTAGTTTTGATACGATTATTGATAAGCATTTCCGAAAAACAGTAGTCCATCATTTGTCGATTTAAGCGTGAACACGATCGCTCCTTGACAGTGATTGAGAATCGAGTTCGACCAAAATTGAATTAACATGGACGTGGCATTTATCATTTATGATTAGTTGCGAGATTTGCACGTGAAATGTTTTGAATTCCATGCAAGTACATCTTCTTATACAGGATGCTATATATATCACTTCCACTATTAGCGATTTATGAAAGAAGACGTAATATAAAATAATTTAGCTAGTTCTTATTTGTAGTCGCCAAAAATTCTTATATACATGAGTTGTATATATATGAGTCGTTCAGATGTGATGTTGATCAAATCCATAAACTGAAATCACGATTACAAACATAACTTTCCAAACATTTGCAACTTATAATTATTTATACCACGTACATACGATAAATAAATTTATAACAATAAGTCATTTGTTTTTTCAGATATTGAATATTAATTGTCCATTTGAACAATGAATCTAAGGAATTCGTAGAAACTGGCGTTGGTCAGTTTGATTTCTGAAAGTCTCGCACACGAATTAACTATATTCG